CTAATTTTAATTTCTAAAAGAAGCTTGTTCATAAAAACAAGCCACTGTTGCTGTGGGCATATGAAATAATCTGTTTACCAATATTCTGTAGAGGAAAAGCCAGCACTTGGACTTCAGCAGATATTCCAGACATTACAACACAGGCTAGCGAAACAGGAAAGAACTACCAAAGTGTTTGTGCATTCATTTTCAATATTTTACTCCACCTTACAAAAAGCAGACCACAAACCTATAGGAACAGTGATACTGCTGTGCTAGAGGTTATAGAATATTTTTTAAAAGACTGAGAAACACTATAAAAGGCTGAGAAGCATAAACAATATTCAACTGATAATTTATGGAAGTTCTTAAATTTAATAAACTAAATCATATTTTCATATTAATTATATATTCCTTCTCCTAATCACTCAGGAAGGCTGAAAGGTTATTTGATTTTATTCTGAGTTACTATATGAGAAGGGGCGAGCAACACATCGGTGAGAAATACTCAGAGAACACGGATAGTACTGAGTTTTCTTTCAGAGGTTGCTATGCTATATTCTTAAGCAACTCAGCTCTACCGGGGAGGTAGTTTCTGTACAGAGAGGGTCCACTGGTCTCGGGGAGTACCTATCAAGATGCAGAATTAGTTAATTAACTAATTAGATGGCCATTCCTAGGTTTATCTTGCCTCTGTGGTGATGCTTCTATCTGCAAAAAAAGATGACATGATAGCTAGAATGACCTTTTCTACAACAGAAAAGTCAGGATGTAGAATACGGCATACTGACTGCTTGCAAAATAAAAGTTCATACTCGCTTAAAATAGCGTAATTTATATTATTTGATTTCTTAATTGTCAGCCAGCCCAACAAACTCTGGCCCAAATCAAAATATCCTGTTGGTGATGGACCATGCAACTGCAGTCAAAAGTGACTGACAGTATCAGACAATTTAAGCATTTTTTGTCTTTTGCAAATTTGGCAATACCTGTAGAAAGTGTATCAGCAACAAGGAAGCACTTAATGCAAATCAAATTTATTGAAGGTGACACTTAAGCTCTTTGGAAATTTCTTTACAAAGAATTCAAGAACCAATATATAGCAGGAAAATTAAGCTTCTTGTGTAATCTGCTCTTCTGCTCTGAAATTTTACAGCGTGATGTTGGGTTATTTTACAGTTCTGAGATATTAAATGGAAATTTCATATCTCTTCTTACTGGTGGTTGTATATCAAAGTACAGCTATTATAGTAAAGATCAAAATATGGCAAATGTGTTTGAAATAGCTTTTTGTTATCTTATCTATAATTTTCCTGTCTGGTATTTTCTCTAGACTCTCCAGCCACGGAATTTTAACGGGATGTATTCATATCCAATAGTGACCATAATACAATATCTTGTTTGTAATATAAAGAATTTGTAAATGCCAAAGAATACAGAAAGTGATGATTGTGAATGTCTTACAAATGCAAGATGAATCAGGATTTCAATTGCTTGGGTTATGCTATAAATGCTGAAAAACGTTGCGTCTTTACAAAAAATTGCTGGAATGTTGTCTTCTGCACAACCAGTCTGGAATATTATTGCCCTCTATAGTTAGTAGATATTTCTTAAGTTTTGTTTAAGTTTTTTAGATGTTAACAGACTGGACAACTTTGTCTCACTTTAGTTTATGTACTTGACCTAGTGAGGAAAAACTCTTCAACACATTCTACACAGTTGGACCTTTACCGAACACTTTCACCGGCTGCTTTTATGCTCTGAAAAAAAAGAGACTTAATTAACAACTAAGCCTGTCCTTTGGAAGGGATTATGTGATAGAGATACTGGTTCAAAACTTTCATGTAGATGAATGGTACTTGCATCCATGCAGTCTTTTAAACATGCAGTATTGAAGTATATCAGTGTAATTACTGTTGAGCAAATCCTTTTGATTTAAGTTCATACAAAACTAAGAAGCACCACTGCTTACCTGGGCACTCACAGCCTCCACCTTTGGCTCTGTTAGCCACAGCTGCTGCATAGGATCGTGCGTCTAAGATCAAAAGCTTCTGAGGCTGTATTGCCAAACTCTCTGCTCCTGAAGCATTAGAGATTGAGGAATCTATGGAAGACAGGCAACCAAACAATAACTAAATGGATACTTTTGACATTCTTTACAACAATAATTCACTCAGGTCCAACATCGCATATGCATTAGGCATACAGAAATCAGAGAACATCTGAATACATGCAAAGGATTTAATCTGATACAGTACATACAGGAGACTAAGCTCTTACAGACAACTCTAGCTTTTTCAGAAATGGAACGGTGACAAACTTACCAAATTCCACATCAGAGAGATCCCCTCCATTGGAGAAATCTCTGGAACAATTTCCATTCATTAATTTATTACTGTTGGACCTTGAATCTGAGGCACAGGCTTTGGCTACAGACTGGACAAGGTGTTCATCATCTGCATTCCTCCAGCCCCACCAACTGACCTCAGGCTGTCCACAGCGGGAAATAACTGCTCCATTAGGCTGGTGCCTGAAAAAGAAAAGAATAAAAAGAACAGTGGTGCCTATGTAGAAGAATCAGGATGAAAAACACAGAGGGCATTAGAAATTAAATGGCTCACTCCAGCGTTTTAATTCCTGTCAGGGACCTCTCTGTCTTTCAGCAGTTATCCCTAATCTGTGATTCAGAGGCAACTTATTCATTGTGCTTCCCTTTGAAACTGCTTGCGGCTACAGGAAATTGAAAATTAAAAGTCAAAGCCAAGGTCAGTAGGAGAGAACAAAGCATTTTCTTGATCAATATACTGTTGCCTGCTGGCCAGCTAAAGCCAGGAACATTTAAAAACACCAGACAGTCCTTCAAGGGGCATTCTACATCTGCTGGCTATTTAGGTCTACTGTTGTAATGTAACAGACTACATGTGAAAACTCAGTGTAACCCATGCTAATTTAAAAGTTAGAAGGAAGCAATGACATCCCAGATTTACTTTTTGAGGAGTCTGTTTAATCAAAACATGCCAGTAATTAAATCTGTGAAGGATGCTATGATTTTAGTAGGGAATTCTGGCAGAATTTGGAATGTTTTCTATCTGATAACGTCTAAGGGTAACTGAAAACCCACCTCTGTACCCTGATGGTAACCTTTTCTAGGCATCATTTGTGAATCAGAGAAGGCAGTCCTTGAACACTTTGCAGAATCACGGCTCTCTTAGCTAGAACGCAGTGTATGCCATGTATTATTTCACTAGCTAAAAGGAAAACAGCCAATTTTTCAGGATGTTAAATATCCGCAGTTTTACTCACTCTGACGTTTGCTATTAGTGCTTGTTGGAAAGGAGTGGTCTTGTACCCTTCTCAGTGAAAAAAAATTGCTCAGAGAGGTTTTGAAAAATTTATAAATGGGAGTTTATAAAAGAGCACAGGAAACTTCTCCCCTCCTAAATCCCTCAGTCCTGCCTTCTCCTTTTCATTTTCTTCCCCTCTTGAGGTTCCTTCATGTGCAGGTCTTCCCTATCCCTATTACTGGCCCTAAGCAGCTAGGGTTTCATCTGCTGCCTCTCAAATATTGATCGTATCATAGCAAAAGAATATGAAAGGAGCTGCTTAAGAGCAACAGTAGCAGTCCACTCCTACGTGTTAAGCGCCAAGCTACGTGGTGCCAAGCTGGTAAATAACGCAGTTCATAAGGAAGTAAACTTGGGTACAGATACCTAAGCAGCACTGAAAAAAGAAAATACTGCTTATTCTAAAAAGGGACAGACACTATAAGCACTCTATATATTGATAACACTTCAGGGGATTAGAAAACAGAGAGATGAGTCAATCAATAAAACACATGTCACTGAGATAACTGAAGAATGACCTAACCTGAACATTAACTACCTTGTTCCTGGGAATGACATTAAAGACTTCTTTACCTGAAGAGTTAGTATTATTTTTTTAAATTTAACCTCGCTTGTTGTTGTACAAAATAATAGATTTAAAACAATGAAAATTATTTGACCATTGTAAACATGCTCTTAAAAACAGAGTAAGAAACTCACCCCTACAATTTATATTAAAAAGAGCACTGAAGTTCTAATATCACTGTAATTTTCACTTGGCTGCCTCCATGCCGCCACAGTCCACTGCTGCCCACGGAATACGTGACTCCACATTCGCCAAAGCGTTTGCATCCGGCATTTACATTGTTCACACATTCTTCTTGACTTTCACTGACAGTACCTTGCATTTAGAGGACCTCAGCCATGGTCTTACAACTTATCTTAGGCCACATAGTAAGTCCATAGTGTTGAGGAACGGAGCACCTAGGACTTCTGGCTGCCTGTCTCATGTCCCATCTGAAATATCCTACTACTTATGCGCGTATTGTTTCTACTTGATGTTAAATGACCTGCAGATATACATCCCTTTAGGCCCAGGTGCTCTTCAGCAGCACTACCCTTGCTCAGGAATCCCATCAGAATCCACAATCCGAAGGTTTATAAAAGTATCCGTCAGTTGCAGTTCCTACGTGTTAAGATGTAGCAAAGGAAGACAGATTAGGGTTTTCCTGAAAGCAAACCAACCAACCAACCCAGCTCCATGTCAGCCAAGAGTTGCTTAATTCTAACATGGCAATTGCACAGAACGGTAAGGGCTAGCTAGAATCTCTATGCAAAGCTAAATTAAAAGAGTGAACTTTGACAGCCCTGATCAGGAAGAAGGCCTACCCAAACCTCTAAATCTTAACCTTCTTCTCTCACCACCCTAATAAATGTTTAGAGAGGTGTCACAAAACAGTTTTTAATTTGTCATCAGAGCTGTCCAACTCCTCAGGTGCTCAGCAGAACCACCTCTGCAGTGTCACTAAGGCAGCACAGCAGTAGGTGGCAGCGGCTGCCCCATGCTGTTCATTCAAAAGTGACACTAGCAACCCAGTAAAGGCTCCTTGTTGCAAAAATTTAAAACAGTAACATGTTTTGTCATACCTGTATTTGAAGTACTTTTCATAGCTTTTTTGTGATTGTTTCAAATAAAATTCCTTTACTGAAAGGAAGTAACTAACACTATATGCACTAATAGACCCAAAGGAAAAGCAATCGGAACGGCACAGAAGCCAGCCAGCTGCATGCCAAGGCAAATGTACTTCTATTGAAAGGAATACCCTTCCAGAGACAACTCCAGTGATGTAAAATTAATTCAGCAAAAAGCATATGTCAATTACCACAATGCCACCTAGTTCCCTGGTGTACTTCCACAAATAACAAAAGAAAATAAAACATCTTGAAACATGTCGGAAATCTATTTTGAACATTTAAGATAAGCTCATTTACCTGCCTGAATGTTCTCCCAGATTCCATTACTAGCTACCTGCAAAATCATTTCCATCCAGTCATAAACAGTTATACTTTCATCTCCAGGTTCTTGCCTCCCATTTATATCATGAATAATAACCATTAGGCCAAAAGTTGAGTTCACTGAGAGCTATGAATCCCTAATAGTCCTAAGCCTGAACAAATATGTGATGTTCAGATGCATCAGCAGAAATTGGCTAACAATTCTATTTATGGTCACGTTGGAGGTCTGACGAATCACACTCATTCCAACTGAACTGTCCACAGGAACAAAAAATATGAAATTATTTAAGTGTGATTCTTTTGTCTCTAGGGATAGATCTGAGGGTAAGATGGTGTCATTCAGATTTCAGTAACTAAAAAAAGTAAAAAAAAAAAAAAAAAAAGAATCAAACCAACCCCTCCTCTGCAAATTTCCTAATCTTCTTGAGACAGAGCAACTTGCAGCCTCCCTACAGAAACTAGATAGTAAATCACTCACTAAATAACTATAGAGCCCATTAAAAAGCGCTGTGTGATGTATGATACACCTCGGCATATGCCTTATCTTCCTTGTGTTCAACTAAGCCCTTGAGCACAACAATAAATCCACTAAGTCCCTTAAAATTACAGCTGAGAGCACTAATAAAGGTTTGGATAGCCTACTGCATATCACTACTTAACTGCTAGCACTTGCAACCTAAAAAGTCATTACTGCAGTTCACTCCAATATAATTCAGCAAGTACAGTACATTGCAAATTTCTGTTTACCTTTGCTTCCTGTGCTGGCCAAAATGCTGCCTGCATGGGTAATAACCTTCATCAGTGTGAAAGACAAAAAGACATCTTCAACACAGTTAATTTCCAGGTAGGTTCTCATGACTTTAGCACAATGTTTACATAATGCAGGTGAAGTCCTCTAAAGAGTCCTTCCTTAAAATCCAAAAAGGCTTCTCCTATTATTGATTTTCTGGGAGCAAAACAAATAAACTACAAAAACTATATTAAGGGCCAGGCTTATCTACCTACATACGTGCCTACATTTTCCAAAATGGTAAACACTGAGGAAAACTGCAGAAGCTGACTGTCAGATTTTTTCTGGAAGTCTGGTCCTTTCACAAAATAGGAGCAACACTTGGCAATCCAATCTCAACTGAGTATTTCTGAACTTTGGCTCTGAATTCAGCCTGTTCATCTTTTCAGACTGTGCATACTGTCACAGCATTTGAATGCTTTACCAGAACGGACAATGACCTGTTTGTGGCCATGTGTCTGTCTCTCTGGTGTATCTCTGTCCCAGCTTCAGAGAAGTTTCTGAGATTAGTTACTGGAAGGATTTAAAAAAAAAAAAATCACTATTCCTTTTTTCCTGAGGAAAGGCAAAGAAAGCAGATTTTGTGATCGGTAAATAATGAAATAAACAGTCCCCAAATCACCTTCAACAGATAAAAAATGCCCAGTGAGCTTGTGTCCGTTATTCCTCCAAAAGTAAGAAAAAAGCTATTATTATGCAGGG